GCAGCGCATGTAGATCGTTATTCCTCATTGTCATTGGCTGATTGGAGTCTCGCGCGCGCGTATCGAGTCGTGTTCTTCCTCTAGCCGCCTTCTTCTCGGGACAGCCATTGTATAATATACGATTAATAAATAATTTCTATGGTAACCAAACGATTACTGGATTCTTTCCTTAACAAAAACTATAGGAGATCAGTAAGGTAAGCCACATATATAAGGTCAACACAAAGAAAGGGGCTTACTTTAGTGTCTTTATAATTTTAAAGTAGTAAAATATAAGTGGAACCTAGTTGCTTTAATGATTGAATTTTGCTATGAGTAACAAAATAGTTGTCGTGTCAACTGATACAAGTTTTAAACGTGATTATCGCCATTTAGATATATTAGCAAACATTTTGTAAATTCATGGCTTCCAAGATTGCCTGATCTAATCTCAGCAGATTACTGGATGTAAAGTTATTTAAATAATTTAGTGTTTAGAGTACGACCAACAACACTGAAAAAAAATTAAAAGACTCTATTAGGAAGCAAAATTGCTGGAATTCTACCAGAAATGCTGTATAATGATGGGTAAAATTTGGAGGGAATGGCAAAATGGATGACATATCAAACATTTGTGTTGGGCATAATCACATCCTGTTGTTAACTTAATTTGTTAAAAGTAGATAATACGCTGAAAACTTGAGAGGGGGGAGAAAGGAATTGTCATTTCAAAATAAAGTGCAAACATGCAGAATCTGTCAGGGTACTGGAACGTACTTGTTACAAAATTCCACAAGAATAACATGTCCAACTAAGTTTTTTTCTTTTAATAATAAATCTTTTAATAGAAATATAAATCAAAAGATATATTCATTTCACAATACTAGAAATATAAAGATAAATGAATCCAAAAAGTAATTTAATTTTCGTGAGCATATTAAAACTACTATGGTAACGTTTTTGAACATTCTGAAAAACCAATATTTAGTACAGTTGTTGTTTTTACAAAAATTATTCATATTAATGCAAAAATTATTGTTAAATACGAATCTGTTGAAATATTTCCTCGGTTTAGACACAATGAAACTAATCATATTTTAACAATTGTTCATCTTTAGGGATCAAAATATATTTCCAAAAGTTGCAACAACTTTAAAAATCGCATAATATTGCTAAAAATAACAACAATATAATGAAAATTAAATGTCAAATCTCACATCTCACAACATTTTAACTAATGCGCAAGTGCTCTTCCCCCTTAACAGTTACGCTATTGTAATATTTGTGCTTGCCAACCGGGCAGTCATTTTCCTATTACCCCTACTACCCAGAACGTCCATATCCGTATTCGGACATTTATGATCATTAATTTGACAGCTGTATATCGATGCTCAGAGGACGTCTGTTTTTGGACGTAATTTTAAGTTTAGTATTATTTTGACGTCCAATGGACATCCATCTTAGGTCATTATTTATTTAGCCTACCAGTTAATACCCATCTATATACTCGTATATATATTTTTAATAGAATTGGTCAATAAAAATTGACAAATTAAATTTATTACATTTCATTCTATCAGCGGAAGTTTAAAATCTTATTCTATTATAAGCGTATCTAGTAAGAATTTTTCAAGTGGCTCCTTGGTCGAGGTTGCCTATCACTTGAATGCTCAGAACGACAATGGACGTGTCGTGAGTTCGATGCCTGCTCTGGTCAAGTGATTTTTAATAAATAAAAAATAAATGGTGTATTGCGAAAATAATAAATAAATTATTAATAATATAAAATAGAGTGTGGTGAGTCGCGGTTGTATAAAAAAAGTAGGGATGTGGTCTCAATGGAATATTATCCAGGAATAGACATTTTATCAATGTGCAGTATTTAACGTCCAAATATAATCCAGAATTGGACGTCCTATAAATGGTCAAAAGTGTGCCATTTGTATATTTCACTGGACGTCCATTATTGGACGTCAGAAGTCCAGCAAAAAATCATCTTTGGACTTTCAGACATTCAAAATTGTATATCGAATGGGCGTCCAATGGACCTAAATGTGCTGTCTGGGTACATACAGGGTGGCCACTTTTTCATTGAAATGTATTGCTATCTCGTAAACCGTTGGTAACACAAAGTTGGTTAAATGGGGAAAAAGTTGCATATTTCGAAGTCCAATCTGAGGGCGTTTTGAAAACTAAAATATCAGGTCCGGTTTCCGAGATATTCGATAAAAAACAAATAAGTACCATTTTTTTATTCCGCTACAGAACGTTTATTTGCAAAAATAGACAAAAACTCATTTGGAGTTTTTTGTTTTATATCAAATTGTGCGTATGATAGCGTATTTAGTTTTTTTATCCGACGTTTCGTAAATGCAGGACCACCATCAACTTCTTTATTTGAATATGGACCAATATTTTCCTGGCTCTTAATTTTAATGCATGTTCAATGTTGAATACAATGATGTAATAACATATTGTGATTAGTCAACATTTCGAAAGATTTGAACATCATCAGGTAAGTTTACAAGTACGGACCTGTGTTTTGTTAGTTAAAAATATTTGAATTAGTAAATGATGTATTATCAGTGTAAGAAATCAGGTACGTTTACTTGTACAGACCTGTATTATAAATTATTTGAAATACACAACTACATTTTAAATGCTTAAAATAATTTAATAAAAAAAAAATATGTATTTAACTACTTAATCACGTCAGAAACAAATAAATGAAAACAATGATTAACGATAAGAGAAAAACTACAGTAGTTGCTCAAAATGTCCTCCTTCTTCTTGAATACATAAGTCAATACGGTCTGTCATTTGAGCTATGCTGACAGAAACCATTTGTGGAGTGATATTATTAAACGCATTAATTATCCTATCTCGTAATTGATTTAAGTCATTTGGAATACCATCATAATATACTTTATTTTTGATATATCCCCATACAAAATAATCCATAGGATTTAAGCAGGGTGACCTAGGGGGCCATCGAATAGGTCCATGTGTACCAAACCACCTCCTGGGAAATCTTTCGTTTAAATAATTTCTGATTAATGCAGCATTATGTGGCCCACAGCCATCTTGCATAAAATAAATATTTCTTCGATCATTAGAAGAAGATTATCTAACATATCTTCTAGCAATTGTAAATAGTTGTGTTGGTTGAGGTTTCCGTCAATAAAAATAGGACCAATTATTTTATTATTGAGTATTCCACACCATAAGTTTATTGAGAATCTAATTTGGGGTCTTACTTCTTGAATTAAATGTGGGTTGTCGGTGGCATAAAAATGTTTATTTTTTCTATTAAATATTCCACTATTAGTAAATGTCGATTCATCTGTCCATAAAATTCGTCCATGAAAGGATACATCATTATTTAATTTTCGTTTATACCAACGGCAAAATTCTATTCTACGATTATAATCTCCAGGATGTAGCTTTTGTACAGTTTGGAATTTGTAATCATGGTACTTATGTTTTTTAAGAATGTTTTTCACAGTACTTGCAGAAACTCCACATTCTCGACTTATTGCTCTAGACGACGTTTCAGGGTTGATATAAACTTGAGACAAAACATTTATTTCATTTATTGTATTACGTTTTAAATATTTACCACGTTTTTTTTCAATATTTCCTTCGTGAGACATATTTAACGCTATCCTATAAAAAATTAATAAAGATGGTTGCCTCCTTCCTGGATACAACTGAAGGTATCTTTCTGCAGCTTCTCCACTATTTCTGTTACATTTTATGTACACATCGTACATATTTTTTTTCTCACTTCTACTGTAACGAACCATATTTTCAATACCCTAATTAAAAATATACCAATGCTTTTATCCGATACCAGACTGTCAAATATACAATAATAAAATGTGACATGCCAGGTTAACTTGATTTAAATTTATCTGTATAATAATCAAGACGTGTTGCTAGATATACAATTATTATTGTTGTTAACTTTTTCTTTTTTATACTATGAGGAACCATATCAGTTTAAAAAATCCAACAAAATATGACAAATCAGGCTAACTTTATGTATTTAAAAATCGGGATGTACTTTATTTATAGATTAATATTGGGATTGGTCAAGTGCAAAAACCATAAAAATGGAAAATATTTTTTAGCAAATGTGTAAACGAACATGTTGTCTTGATGTAAAGTTAAAAGTTTGACTTTGGTATTTATTATTTATAATCTCTTACAACGATAATACATCATTTACTAATTCAAATATTTTTAACTAACAAAACACAGGTCCGTACTTGTAAACTTACCTGATGATGTTCAAATCTTCCGAAATGTTGACTAATCACAATATGTTATTACATCATTGTATTCCACATTGAACATGCATTAAAATTATGAGCCAGGAAAATATTGGTCCATATTCAAATAAAGAAGTTGATGGTGGTCCTGCATTTACGAAACGTCGGATAAAAAAACTAAATACGCTATCATACGCACAATTTAATATAAAACAAAAAACTCCAAATGAGTTTTTGTCTATTTTTGCAAATAAACGTTCTGTAGCGGAATAAAGAAATGGTACTTATTTGTTTTTTATCGAATATCTCGGAAACCGGACCTGATATTTTAGTTTTCAAAACGCCCTCAGATTGGACTTCGAAATATGCAACTTTTTCCCCATTTAACCAACTTTGTGTTACCAACGGTTTACGAGATAGCAATACATTTCAATGAAAAAGTGGCCACCCTGTATATATGGCTAAAATGTATTCCCTACTTTATGATAACCTTGTATAATTCCAAAAATTTTGTTATAGGATATAATTCATAATTTTGACTGAGAATTTGATGGATAATTCTAAATAAAATTAAAATACAAAGTTCTACTTAATCGGTATAGCTGGAAGTATCTCAGTCATATACATATTATAATTTTAGATTTGAAATATAATTTTATCCCTAAAATCTTGTAAAAAAATGTTCTTTCTTGATGTATTTATTGTGGAAGTGTATGCACTTATATTAAAATTATATTTTTCTTTTAGATGTACATGAAAACTGTATTAACAAAAATAACCGTTGGTATTAAACTGAACGGAAATCCTACGATGGCCATTTGTATACCCAGTAACTGTACGGACGATGACGCTAAAAAGTTAATGAGCAGTCCAGAATTGGGCGTCAGTGTACAGTCTGTTATTTGCCAGACCATAGAAAATGTTTATCCTGAATTGACAAAGGAAGCAATCGTTGCAATGTAAGCAAACATAAATTAAATAGATCGTGTAATAATGAAGATTTACCAAATTCATTAAGATAAAAAAGGGCTTTTGAGTTAATATGCGCTCTATTCAATTAATTTATTTAGATGTAGCCATTTTTTCTTTTAAATTATTTACAGTCATCGCTAATAAAATTCAGCATTTTTAAAATTATTCCTATACGTACACATTTTTATACATATACAAAAGTGAATAAAATACCTATACTTTTTAAATGCAAGTTTTATAATATTATAAATAATGAAATTAATTTTAATCAATGAAAATAGTATAGCACAGGTCATTGACTAAAACCTACGAAGTTGGTCAGTTGCTCTAAATTTGAATTGTGTTCCTGGTGAATACAGTAATAGTATGAGAGCCCACTGCAAATTTCGACCGTCATCTGATAACGAAATGAAATATGCTCCAACGGCATGTAACAACATTTTACTCTACCAAATTGCACCTGTGCCAATCCCTATCCTGAGCAAAGTGGTTACAAAAATTATTTTATATTCAAAAAATCACATAAGACATGACAGCGACAATTGTGTTTTGCCTGAAAATTACAATCCTAATTCATTGTGAACCTAGCTTTTAAACCTGAATTATTAATATTTTTACCTACCTTTTAAACCATGTTTATATGTGAAACGAAGAAGGATGGCATTGTATAAACCATTGCAAAGACAGTCAATAATAATTATAAACTCTTTTAAACCATAATCATAGTAGTTTTTTGTCGTTTCAATAGCAACCTGTAAAAATGAATCACAACAATAGGCATCCAAATGAATTTTTAAATCAGCAAAAATTGATTCATATTTTTAATGATTTTTACCTACTAATCGCGAATAGATGTTTTTGTGCGATGTTAAGAGGAAAAAAATGTTTCCCTTTAACGATATATATCAAGATATATTTGAATGTTATTTTCTGGAAAACTTTAAGGGCAATCAAAATTAGCGCTGTCATGGTTTATGTGATTTTTTTAAAATAAAATAGTTTTTTTAAGCCACTTTGCTCAGGATTGGGATTGGCACAGGTGTCATTTGGTAAAGTACAATATTTTTACATGCTTTTGGGGTATATTTCATTTCGTTATCAGATGACGGTAAAAATTTGCATGGGGCTCTTGGGCTATAAGAGGCCAAACCACCAACGTCAATCATGTTAAAAAAAATGCTAATGACCACCGATTTGTTCTACGTTTTACTATATACTCGCTAAGCATCTTATCCACGGTGTCAACGCCTCCTTTTGTTTAAATATAATATCTTATTATCTTAGGCTTTGCAACAGTAGTATCATCCATTTGACCTATTTTGCGCATCGTTGATAAAAGGATAACAAGTTAATTTTTATTTGGAACATAGAAACATAATGTTACATCTTTGTTGAATGCGAAAATGATTGAATTTATAGGTTTATTTTTAGATGGCTGCATATTAGGTGGTAAAAATGCTTTATTTTTCCTAGGAGTATCTACCAAAGTTATATTCCATGAATTCAAAGTACGAGCCAGTTACAAACTTGTTATAAAGTTGTCTGTTGTTACATTTCTTCCCAATCCCTTATACTTTGCCACTAGATCCAAAACTGTTCGCTGGCCGACATTTACCTGATGTTCACAGATAAAATTTTGTTAAATCTAATAAGATTTGTACGCGACATTCAATTAAGAACTATTTATCCCATTCAAGTTGCTTTGTATGTCGTAAGAAACACCACTCTCTTTTGCATAGAATAAATTTAAGCTCTCAAGATCAGCAATCAAATTACAAAGATCTAACACAAGCTTTATACGACCTCCAATCCCCCAATAATTCTGCACCCACACTAACATTTCATTCGAAAATATTAGACCATAATATGCGCTCAACCCCTTTTCAATTAAATACTCACTCCGTCACTCCGCAAAAAACCTCATTGTTATCAGCGCTAACAACAAAAGGTGTTAACGTACTATTGACAACTGCTCAAGTTTGCTTATATCCAAAAAGTGGTCGTCCTATAATCGCTAGAGCACTTCTTGATTCTGGTAGTCAATTGTCTTTTATAACCCTCTCTCTTGTTTAAAAAACAGATCTAAAGCCATACATCACAGATCTCAAATCTCTGAGATTTGCAATAATAAAAGTAATGTGCAACAAATGACAGATATTGACATTTTCCCTCATTCAGAAACAGCAATATAATATCAATAAAGTATAGTAGTCTTGTAAACTAAAAATTATAGAACTACTTTGTTAGTTGGGATGTCTCTACTTGCTGGTCCAATTGGCAAAAGTGAATTATTTAAATACAAATAAAATTTTATCATCTGCATAGTTTAGATTAGAACATAAACAATGAACAATATGAACAATAGTAGTCGTTTATACTGAAGTAATATTTTATAACTAGAAGCAGAAATGACATAATTTAAATATATTTGGTTTGCTTTTCAGATCAGTTCTTTCCACACTGATACTAATAGTTATTTTATCTACGGCTTGTGATTTGCTTTATTCAAACAAAATTGGTAAGTAAATATTTTCTAATATTAGGAATCCTTCAAGTCTACTAAGATTGACCTTTAATTAAAAAACTTTTTATCCGTTTTTATGTAGAAAATTTACATCCAATTCTTCTGGCATTTTCGTTGTACGCAAATGGAAAAAAATTATTTAAAATTCCTCGCCGTTCTTCAAATTTGAGTTCTCTTGATGGTTTAAGAGTAATGAGCATGGTTTGGATTGTAATGCTCCATAGTCACAGCGTATATACGTCAGGTCCTGTTTCTAATGCAAAGGATATTGTAAATGTAAGTGAAATAATTTACCATTGACAAATGGTGACCAAATACCTCAAAATATTAAAATATTAATTTTTAGTTTACTAATTCTTTTATGAGTATGATTTTTATTAATGGAGATTTGGCATGTGACACATTTTTAATAATTGGTGGAACACTAATAACATTTGTGTATTTCAAACGTCAAAATATACACAAAGGTAATTATAAAATGTCGGTTTCTGTTGTTTTGAAACATTATCTGCATAGATATCTTAGGTGAGTATCTGCACACAGGTATGTAGTTGGTAAACAAAATATTGTTACTGTTTTTATTTAGTAGCTATTTGCAGCTATATTTTTTTTGAGTCTTGAGTGAAAAAATTTTAGTTTTTGATGTTTTAAGAGGACTCTCCAAAGGACAGCTCAAAAAAAAATTTTTTAGAGGTCGCTCCAAATTTTTTTAAATATCAAAAATCGTCAAAAATCGATTTTTTTTTTAATTTTTTTTCTCGGTACGGTATAATTTTACAGCCAAAAAAAAAATAAGTTTCTGAAAGTTTCAGTTCAAAATTTAAATTTTAAAAGGTTGCTCATAATTTTTTTAAATTTATCAGTGCATTACTTTAGATTTTTTCGAGCGACCTTTTAATATTCAAATTAAAATTCCATACATTTTAACTTTCTTATTTAGTGCAATAATCGATAGAAATACACCACGAGATGAACTAACACAATATAGAAAACATAATTTTTTTTAATTCAATAATTTTATTTAACCAACTATAAAATTTTAACAATATTTCAATGAACTTTGTTATTAATTCTGAAACTAAATTTTAAATTATAACAGATTTCAACTTTAGGTAAATTAATATCATATATTATTTATATCGTTAATTATTAAAATTATTTAATATCATATTATTTATTTAAAGTTCGTATTAAATTCATTTTACTTGCATTGGGATATAACTTACGATTTTTTTCGACAACTTGTAGTACTCTCTGCAGCTCATCTTCATTTTTTACAAATTCTAGATACTCATGCATCAATGAAACACCACGTTCAGCAGTGTCATTAACTATATGTAATGCACGAACTATATTCAAACTCCTTAAGTAGGACTGATTCGAATTCCAGGTTGCAGGATGTGTTTCTAAGAACTCGTCACTCAAGTTTAAGACTTCGAAGAAATATCGTGTATTTTGATTCACGAAATGATGAATTTCCTTATTCATGATATCACTCTCTTTTATTTGGATACGGTTCAATGGCTGCTGTCCAGATTGTGTTTTTAAAGCTGACACCATTTTAATCTTTCCTTCAATTGAGATTTCAGAGTCAAAAAATGCCAATCCAATTAAATAGTCACTAATATACCATAAATGTCGAGAAAAAGTTTTTAGTGCGGCTGAACCTAACTTTTGATTTTGTTCTTTAAATTGGACCAGATCTTTTAATAATTGTAAATTAATTCTCGGGGCAATAGTAGGAATTTGGCAAAGCAACCAGGCTTTCAGATAAATTTTAATTACAAATGCGTTAAACTCTTCAAGCTCTTTCAAGATTACTTTAGAAACTTTAAATTGACTCCGGAAAAGATATATTTTCAAACAATAAATTATTGTGGACATCCACCTAGCTCGATGATATATCCCTGGCTTATTTATTGAAAAATTAGTAGGCTCACCAAGATAAATCAGGGATAATTTCAATAACTCTTTATAATCGTCTCTTGGATGTTGATTTGTTAATTGACCAAAGATAAATTCTTTAATGGGAAGATCAAGTGGGAACTTGATCTTCAATGTTCCCACACTCAATTTTTTTTTATCAAACTTTGGCCATTCTTTCTTGAAACGCTCAAATAATTTTATCTGAGGACCACTAGTTACAGGTTCTAATTGTGAAGAAAATGTTGGTGTTAAAATCAGTTCCAACATATGATGCCTACAAGCAAAATTAAACATTTTCTTTTTCAACATTGTTTCTAAATGAACAGCAGCTCCTTCATGTAGTCCTGTGTTACTTGCAGTCGTGTCAAAGCATAGTGACCGAACTCGATCAGAAATATTCCACTCCAAAAGTGTATTGTAAATAGCTGTCGCTTGATTAATACCTGATGATCCATCAATTATAGGAATCTCCAAAAGTTTTGCTACTCCTTCTCCTGTAACTAATACTGCTAATCTATCTTCAGCTTGGGACGATGTTGACGTTCTCATTAATTTCGAATCCCAGTGCACGGTGAGACATGTATCTGGTTTGAATGAATCTTTTATACATTTACAGGTGTCTGCTCGATGTTTTTGGCGTGAACGACGGATGGTATCTTTACTGACGCTAACTTTTGATAAATCTTGTTTCAAAGATACAAATGTTGCAGCTACGATGAGTGTTGCGCTACGGTTCGAAGTTTTTGTTCGATCTAACATACTTGACAATGCTGGGGTTATAGTATTTTTTTTTGCGTGGTTCAGTTAGTTTTCTTTTTTTAGGAGGGGAAGGATAAAATTCGTGTGATGACACACTACAACCTGATGCATTACTTTTTTGAGACAATAGTACAGGTGGTTCTGAATTACTTGATGACAAAGCCTTTTTAGAGTGTGTAACAGATTCCGTTTGTTACGTTTGAAATAATAAACGTTTTATAAAGACAAAATGTTACGTTTCAAAGATATATTATTAAAACATATTTTGCACCACGTTAAATTTCTAACCCTTTACCTGGGTCTCATTGTAAAAATCCTTATAATAAGAATTCTTACAAGCCTCAGGCCTAGCTCAGATCAAAATAGGTCAGTGGGATTCGTTTAGAATTTACCTTCAAGTCAATGACAAAGTCTTTAATTAAAAAGACTTAAAAGAATTCAATGAAATTAATTTTGGGCGCCATACTTTTAGATGTAAAATAAAAGCAAATTTGTCATCAACTTGTCGGTTGAAAGTAAAAAAAAAAAGACTAAAATTTCAAAACAATTAATCGGCTTTAATTTAAATTTTGAATTTGACTGATTACATAATAAAAAGAAAATTAAATTAATTGATTTTAACACATTTTTCCGATTACGTTTTACCAATAAGTTTAAAATAAAAATTGACTAGTGACTCAAAAATTGTGTGTGTGGTCCTGGCCGATACTTATCTTGTGTTTCCGGATTTAACGGTCGAACTGGTCTGGTCCCTGTCTTAATGGTAGGTGAGCGGTGAGCCTACGATGACTTCAAACACTGCAGTTCCTTACGCAACTCAGCCCAAGATATTCCGCAGCTCTAGTGGCAACTAGCTGACAATGATTCTGCAGTTCCAGATTACCAAGGACAATTCCTTATTTTGTTCCAGATCCAGAGCCTTATTTTGGTACAGATCCAGAGCCAGTTCCTTATTTTATTCCAGATCCAGTTCCTTATTTTGGTACAGATCCAGAGCCAGTTCCTTATTTTTTAAGAAAGAAAAAACGAGTCAGTTACAACAAAAAAAAACGTATCTTTCCATTGCTTCAAAAAAAAAACAACACATGTGTTCAGCAATAAATCTTACAATTTAAATTAAACATTCTTAAATTAAACATTTAAAATTTTACAACAATATTAGAGAGTTGCAATAGTATTTAATTTAAAACACATGAAGAATGGAAAGATCTTTTCAAATAACTGAGAAGAAAAAAATATAAAATTAATGGCAGCCATTTTGTACATTTTGGAATTTATATTACGCGAAAAGCTCACTATTAATAAAAGAGATAACTCAAAAGATAATTTCAGCAGAATATGCACACAATAAAATTAATTTCTACTTTTCATTAATAAAAAAAAATTCGAGATTACCTTAGTTATTCGGACACACAAAGCACTAAACCCAACCGGTTTACCTCGCTGCTAGATTGAAAAGAAAGTTCAAAAGCCGACAGCTGACCAAATGTGTGAAAAGGTGAATATTCCCCATCCATAAGTAAGCCAGGCGTGCGCACGACATCTGACCGTAATTATTGATTTTTAGAGAGAGCTGGTTGGGCTATCGAATGTCTTAGACAGAGACAAATTCCCGTTTCAACATAATATCTATAATTCCAAATACGAGGGGCGCTCAAAAAGTATTAGAATATATTGGAATAATAATGAACTAATTAAATATTGTAACTATTAAAAGGGAGTGACGATTACAACGTAACACGTTGTTAAATTATTTACTTTTGTTTGAAGTTTACATTCAAACATATCATCTAAAGATTTTAGAAAAGCATTCTCGTTTTCACGCTGGACGTTTGTAAGCCTCAAACGATTCTTTTTCAATTTTTGCCAAGTGTCGAATATTTTTTTTTAATTTTTTCTTTAATATGAAAGTCCTTGATAATTACTTTCGGATCCCAGCATTGTTGAATTTGTTGAGTAGTCAATTTCAAAGCGTCTGCAATTGTCAATTTATTCTCGTAGTGATGAAATAAGAAAAAGCTGAGTACTTCCCGACGAGAAGGAATTCTAGTAGTTATCAACTGTTTATGGTATTCGCCAATTAACCATTTACCTGGGCCAGATGGTTTTGTTGATCTTAATTGTCTTTTGGAGTACATTTTTAGTCTACAAAAAAATAATACATGAAAAACATAGTCAAAAACCAAAATATTGAAGTATTTCAGATAAAAATTCTAAATAAAAAATAAATGTTTATAAAACAATTAGATACATTAAAATTTATTGAGGTTAGGACAAAAAAATGACAGAAACAACATAAAAATAATGGAACATACCCGTGCGTTAAACTAATATTTCAAACATTGTATCATTGAAAAAATCACGAACTGACGAATAAGTATATTTTAATTAACTGTTATTATCATTATTATTGTGGTGTCAAAATAGAGAACTAATAATTTCGCTGCGTCGGTAGTAGAAATTTCTATCTAAACGAAAAAAAACCAGTAATTTTAGATTATTTAATACAAAACTAATCATAATTAAACGAAATATTAAGAACTCAGAGGAAACACAATCAAATATAATGATACGTTTTACTTGTAAAATTATTAAATTAAAAAAAATTATGTTTTCTATATTGTGCTTGACTTTTAGTTCATCTCGTATTTCTATCGATTATTGCACTAAATGAGAAAGATAAAATGTATGGAATTTTAATTTGAATATTAAAAGGTCGCTCGAAAAAATCTAAAGTAATGCACTGATAAATTTAAAAAAATTATGAGCAACCTTTTAAAATTTAAATTTTGAACTGAAACTTTCAGAAACTTATTTTTTTTTGTCTGTAAAATTATACCGTACCGAGAAAAAAAAATAAAAAAAAAAACGATTTTTGACGATTTTTGAAATTTAAAAAAATTTGAAGCGACCTGTAAAAATTTTTTTTTGAGCTGTCCTTTGGAGAGGCCTCTTAAAACATCAAAAACTAACATTTTTTCACTCGAGACTCAAAAAAAAATTGTCGGTTTTTTGCGCCACCCTAATATACATATTCATTGATATGGAAACACTCAGTGAACAAAAATGCTTAAAGCTCCCAAAAGGGGTAATTTGTTCTCTAAAAATTCATAAACCAAAATTAAAAACCAAATTAATGTAAAAAAGAGAAATTCTAGTTTCTTCGCTCTTCTGATCATCTTCTCGTCTGCTCAGTCTCATACTCCTCTGTGTAATCTAACTGGTTCCGGTATCTTTATTTCAGATTTATTTGCTTTGCCTAATCTAACTGGTACTGGTATTTACGAGTATCTTTCCGCTCTATCTGCTTTATCTGAAATCTCTGTCTTTTAATCTATAACAATGAATTTTTGTAATTTAGGATTTTTTACCATTAAAAACGCAATATTTCTACTTTTCTTATCCTTTACCTAAATCAATAAGCGACAAAACAACAATCTTCCGTTTTGACAATTTTCAAACCAACATCAATTCCAGTGGCGGCTCGTGGGCACTAGCGGCAGTGGGGCACACACTGAAAAGGAATCCCAGGATTCGTTTTTCCCTTGGGTAAACAAGTTCTCTGCTTAATAAAAATTAAATATATTTCAAAACAATCAGTTGGGGCAATAACGATTTCTAAATGTGACTACAGGGTGTTAACGCCCACTTCTAAATAATAATAACAAAAACAATTCAACATTTATTGTGCAATTGCGTAATGCCGTCCTATTTGCATACCATATTGTGCGCGCCGCTAAAGAAAGTGTTGCCAGTCTCTAACTTAAATTATCTATGGCGCGGTGAACAGTTGATAAAAAAGAATCAGATGATCGTAGAAAAAAGAAGAAGAATTCTGCCAGATAAAAGAATAGACATAACTTTTTTTATATTTGCTCTCGTTTTGTACCTTTGTAGTTCTTTTTCGTGTTTTAACAAGTTATTTTAAATATAGTTATTGATAATTACACGATATATTTTAATTATTACAAGTATAAACAGTCTACACAAGTGAAACAAGTAAAAATCACAAGGAGCTAAATGTGACCACTCAAAATGCATTTAACTATGTATGTGGCTATTTAATCAAAAAATAATTACATATCCACTCTTGCGAAATTTGCGTAAATTTCTTAGAAGAATGCAATTATCTTAACAATTCTAACTTGCTACCGCATTTTAAAACATACGACTCTGAAGAAAAGGTGTTTGGCAATTTAAAATCTTCCAGTGAAAAATTTCTCCTTTATATTTTCAAATTAGAAAAAATATTTATATCTCTATTTGATAGTTTGTCAACTAAGCCTGGAATTTCCAACGCATACCTTTTTGAGATGAGCAAAATAGAATTTGGTCATCCTTGCCAACAATTTGCGAAAATGTACACCATTAAATTATTTATAAGACTCAGAATTTTTTATACTCTTAAATATGCAAACAGAGATTTAAAATCTTCAAAAAAGTCTGACAAAACCAAAAGAAAAATTAAAATTTTGTCCCATCTCTATTTTCAGATGTACAACATCTACAAATTTATATCCCGTCATAATAAACTTCACAAATTCACAAGTTCGGCGATGTTTTGTAACCTAGGCGGTCGGACTAAACGTTCATCGATCGCAAGCTCTTCTGAAACTGGAGCCAACGCAATCGTCCGTACTATTTCTTCCTATGGATCTAGAAAGAAAGTGGTGGGAGCCCTAGGCTATTGCCGCCGCGTACATTCATATCTGGTGTAGATTAATCTGGGACAGCGCTCTGGTTGTGACGTATAATCCGTCGCATGTGTTCACCTCTTGCTAAGCGATATTGTCGCTGTCCTTGTTTTGCGCATTATAATGAGAGAGGCACACATTAACTGTGCCCTGTGCCCATCTTCTTAACGTCGCCCAACGCCCGGTCGCCCAGTGTCGTGCCAACGCGGTTTGCGCTGAATATTAGATAAAATAATATGCATTGAGGAAAATATAAAATATGTAAGTTATTTTTTTTTGTTTTATTATACTAGGGCACGTGCCCAAGTGCCCTTACGGGCAAACCGCCACTGATCAATTCACAAAAAAAACGACAGCCTGATTTTAAATAAAATTAAGATTTTTGGCAACTTCACCACCCCAAGATAGTTTATAAATTTAAATGACCTCAAAGTTTTCCATATCAAATACCCCAAATTAATTTTTCTTATTCTCCAAATTGTGATAAATCAGGAAGCCTGTATAGCGCTAAGATGGTTAATTCAGAATAGGGGTTTTCGGGCGCCAGTATTCTACGGTACCCTGATAGAAAACGGTCAAGAACCGGTAATAACAGAGACACAGGGATAAATAACAAAATATATATTTACAAAAAAACTAACACCTCGGGCGCGGTATTGGCTTCCCCGGTATACAAGAAATAAATTCTCATTAAAAAAAAATCGTGTTACAAATATCGGTTGAGAAGTATAAGGAAACAAATAAACGGGAGTTTATGACGATACAGAAAATAAATTTTTACATACATTAAAATTTTCCACCAACTTAATTAAAGTTTAACTAAATAACATGGTGCAATAATACAAGAGCTTAATTATGATCCCCCTGTTTACAGAAAATAAATTTACCAAAAGTAGAATTAATTAAAAAAAAAAAAAATATTGGAAACAAAAAAACGGTTCAATAATTCAGGAGACAATTATGCTCTTCCCTGTATACAGAAAATAAATTTTACCAAAAGTGGAATAATTTTACCAAAAGTGAATTGATTTAAAAAAAAATAAATGGTAACAAATAAAACGGTTCAATAATTCAAGAAACACTTATACTCTTCCCTGTATATAGAAAATAAATTTACAAGCTTTAGTGAGTTCAGGATGGAAACATAATATTCCAAGTTGTATTTTAGAATTTACCAATTTGAAATTAGCCAATTCTGGGAGTTAATTTTTTAAATATAAATAAAACATTAATTCTTTTATTTTTTTTCCTCGAAAACGGTTCATTTTATCGACAATGAAAAGGGTATCGAAATTTATTTTTTTAACTCTATCATACAGGGTGTTAAAAATATAAGCATTAAAATGTACAACCTAGTTCGCCCCTGGTAAACTAAACAAGATAATTATGTTTTAAGGATAGAATTTTAAGAGGTTCTTGCTACTGTTTATCATAATCAATTTTCACTAAATTATATTAAGTAGTTTGAAAGTTATTCAAGAAAAATTGATTTCCACAGGCGTCCTTTTGGGGCCGTATCTCCATAGGGAGGGCTGCTAGGAAAAAATTTATGGGAACTTGTCACTTTATTTTTTAATATTCTGTCTGAAACTGAGAGATCTCCCACATTTTCCCGGATATGTCATTTATTTATCTGAGATTTTACATTATTCACAGTCTATCTTTATTTTTAATTTTCTGTTTAGACTTTTTAAATATTATTTGATAAAACCGATTTTTTATAACTATAAAGTTTCATTTTTTGTTTGGTTTTGTTTCTTTAGATGAACTTGCATAATATCTTTCTCTATATTTTCTTCAGTCTCCTTGTAGAACCGTAAACTTTATATTTTCCATTTTTTATTTTTGTTTTACCAACATCGTCTTTACGTTCCATTTTCAAATATTTATTTGATATAGTTTATACACATATTCGTATGTAACAATTATTTTTATTTCGATCATATTTTAGATTAACACCGCCTCTGGCTGGTGTAGTATTCGTATCAGCAACCTTACTCAGATATATGGGATCAGGACCAAAATGGCCATACATAGTTAATAATTTTGAAGAAAATTGTAAGGTCTATTGGTGGTCAGCCTTATTGTATATCCAAAATATATTTAATGTGGATCGCATGGTAAGTAACCTTTTTAAACTCATCGATTTAAGATTTATTTTTATACTTGAGCAGTTGGCTTTTAGCTCTAATATATACAGAATATAAAAGACGGTTTCTTACCCAATCACAAGACCTTTCTCTTAAATGTTTAACTACATGGTAGTCAGTGTCATGAGAGAAGGCATGCAGAAATGAAAAAAATATTACTATTGCTACAAGAAGGATTATTAACGAATTAAAAGTACTTCAATTATTATATATTCAATGACGATTTTAATCGTATATTAAAGTATAAGTATTATAACGAATATCCACGAATACTTTACACTATTTTTTTTTATTGGTATACTTTGAAATCCTAAATATTATTATTTCAACAAAAAAATGAAAATAAGAACTAATAATTGAAAATGGTTGAATTTGTGGTGTAACATCAGTATACCTCGTTGTCATGAAAATGAGACAAACAAACATTTATTTTCAATCTGTCACGTACGATTAATTGTCGCAACAGTTGTTATTATTTAAAGTGAGTTCAAATATTGAGTATTTAAATAATAAAGCAGAATCGCGATAAATACCACAAAAATCCGAAGCGGTTTATAAAAAAGAATACGATAAATTCAACACGTGGATGGAAGAGCAAATGGTTACACATATAGATGAACGAGTTGTTCTCGCTTATCTCCAGAAAATGTCGGAACAGTATAAAGTATCGACTATGTGGACTATCCATTCAAAATTACAAAGTATGTTGAGGATAAACAAAGGGGTCGATATAAAATCGTTCGTCAGAGTGCATGCATTCATGAAGGCAATTAGCAAAAATGAGGTAGTCAAGAAGGCATATGTATTCGAGGAAGACGATTTGCGGAAGTTTTTTACAGATGCACCGGACATTACGTATTTATTTTTAAAGGTGGTTGCTATTTGTGGCATCTTTGGCTCTTGTAGAAGATGTGAATTGTGCGATTTACGCTTAGCTGATATCAAGGAAAAAGGAAGCGTATTGCTTATTACTATCCGACCATCTAAGACAGTGAAGTCTCGACGTTTTACTGTTGGTACTTTCCACATTCGTTTAAACAATTAAGAATGTGAAAAAATATTTGAATACATTTTTTGAAAAATTTCTCAGAAATATTTTATTTGACATTACAAGGCCCTCCTGTCAGATCAATATTTAAAAAGTTGGTATTTAGACATCACGTTTCTCTGGTTGTTGATGTTGCCATGGTAACTTTAAAACGCGCGTTTTTAAAGTTCGTTTAAAACACGCTGAGGCGTACTTTAAATAAGTAAAATAGGGTACCACTAAAAAAAAACATAATTAACATTCATTTTATGTGCAACAAGTACAGAGATTAGAGGCGGGTTATGAAATTCCCCTAATTTACTTTAAAAAAATACTTATTTTGATGATCTACAATTTACAAGGGATGACATATGATATAAGTGGGTCGCGGAATTTTATTCGAAAATTTTTGTTCGAATCTTTTTGTTCAAAGGAATTTTGTTTGAAAACATTTTGTTTAAAAGTTATTTAGTTCGAACACATTTTGTTCGAATATCTAATTTGAAAAAATATTATTTCTATACAAATTTAGAGAATTTCGAACATGACTTTGTAAAGTAGAAAGTACTCGATTATTTTTAATAAATATTTATACAGTGTGTCCGTAAAGTATGGAACAAATTCATTTTTAGCTAAACAGACCATTTAAAGAAGTAATCCTGAAACACGTCGATTTTTGATTTTAATTTACCGTATTTTAAAATAATAATCTAATATACAGGGTGAATTACTTTTGAGTAATGACGTCACCGTCATTTTTTTTATGGTACACCCCCATTTTGTCTCAATTTTCGGATTACTCTAGCTGAGCTGATTCCAAAAATATATCACATTCAAACAACTACATGGTATGATGGATATATGCATTCCCAAATATGTTCCAACTGCAAGAAAATACCCCACATGGTTCAAAGGACCTATTATTAGAGATATTAAAAAAAAAGAGAAAGCACGAAAAAAGTTTAAGCGCAATAATGATTTAAATGCCTTCGAAGAATTTAAACGGCTAAGATCCAAAATTAAAAAGGACGTAGAGAAAGCACATAAAGACTACGTTAAAACATTACAAGAGAATATAAAAAGAAATAGTGGGAACTTTTGGTCATACGTAAATTCTAAACGGAAAGATGGTGGAATACCTGAATTTATGACTTATGATGATTTAAATCTTTTAAACATGCAGGATATTGTAAATGGATTTGCTACTTACTTTAAAAATTCCTACAGTAATTCATCAAATTTTGATGTTGACTTTGAGAGTGATTTATCAAATAACTTACATGTACATATAGCTGAATTTAAAGAATCTGATGTGTCGAAGGCAATATTAAAGTTAAAATCTAAATTTACTAAGGGACCTGATAATATACCATCCTTCATGGTTCGCGATTGTTCCCATGCGTTAGCTATTCCTTTAAATAAAATATTTAATTTGTCATTGCGTACTGGTACATTTCCTAATGCATGGAAGAGGTCAAGAATCTGTCCTGTTTTTAAAAAAGGTAAAAAAATTGTATTGAGAACTATCGACCCATCACTATTATATGTAATTTTGCCAAAGTTTTTGAAATTTTACTATACGATAATATTATACCACACGTCAAACATCAGATAGTGGACGAACAACATGGTTTTTGTAAGAACAGGTCAACAATAACAAATCTATTCTCATTTACACAATACAGTTCTGCAATAGTTGATGGCGGCGGTCAACTAGACGTAATATATACAGATTTTTCTAAGGCTTTCGACAAACTCGATCATAGAATATTACTTCAAAAGCTTAGCAAGTTTGGATTGTCCAAGCCTGTCATAAATTTTTTTCAATCATACTTGACAAACAGAACCCAGTTTGTTGAAGTGCGTGGATTTGAGTCTGTCGATATCTTAGTAACCTCTGGCGTACCTCAAGGCTCGATTCTGGGACCGCTTTTATTTATACTATTCGTAAATGACATTATTAATGACGTTAACGTAAAATATTTAATTTATGCAGACGATGTCAAATTTTTTTATCAGGTAGATATCTTAAATGATTGTCTTAAATTACAAAGTAATATTAATAAAATAAATAATTGGTGTTTAAAAAATAATCTTCCATTAAATTCAAAAAAATGTAATATAGTGTCATATACCAAAAAAGATTTTCCAATTCTCTATAACTACTGTTTGGATGGTGTTATATTAAATAGGCCTGATTTTGTTATAGATCTTGGGGTAAAGTTCGATAGAAAACTTACTTTTAATGAACATCTAAATGACGTGGTAAAAGCATCATTCAGAAATTTGGGATTTATCATTAGGCATGCAGTTGACCTCAATTCTATCGAAACCATGAATATGTTGTACAATGCGTTTGTCAAATCAAAATTAGAATATGCTTCAATAATATGGAAACCATTTTATGATATTCACATAAGCGCTCTTGAAAACGTTCAAAGACGATATCTAAAATTCTTGACATTTAAGATAGACGGAACATATCCACCAATTGGGATAAATCACACGTTACTTCTAAATAGATTTCAAATGCAAAGCTTAGAATGTAGACGAAAAATTTATTAAAAAACTCGCCGTTGTATTTTATGTGTAAAAACTGCAACAACCTGCAAGGTAGAATTGATTTATTTTCTTGTAAGCTTTCGCAGCTATTAATTTATTTAATTTTTTGTCATATTATGTAATTTTTGTTATATTGTGTAAGTTTTGTTATGTTGTGTAATTTATCTTATATCCAAATTATGTCTTATTGTGCAATATGTTATATTTATATTTACTTTTGTAATTACAATTTTTTTCCTGCTCTATAACTAGGCATTTAGCCTGTAGAGCAGTGTATTTAATAAATAAATAAATAAATAAAAGAAGTAGAGAGGGTAGAACGATAAAGTACCGTCTGCGCATCCATCACGAGTATAGAAATTATGCGTGATTCAACCTTCCACTCTTATACATGTAAATGACAAGGAGAGATTGCCCTAAAGCACTGTAAACAATTTCCAGGATTGTCTCTGTTCAGCGATTATGTTCATGTTCAGCTCTGTTTTTGTTTGTTTTGTGGCTGTTGTAAACTTTTTGGCGTCAATCCTTTGTTATCTTGCGTATATTTGTGATTTTTTTGTGCTTTTATTTCAATTTAATATTAAATTATACTCGTTAATTATTTTCCGATGCAATATTTTATAATTGTTGCACAAAATGTTGTTAAACCGTCCCTGAATCTTGTTTACAAAATATGCAAAACGAAATTGTGCATAGTGTCTAGACTTTTTCATTGACAGTTATCATTCTACCCCTCTCCACTTCATTGATCACATGTTGATTCCAATTGGTACAGGGTGGGCAAATATACAATAGTTTTTTTGTGTGCTCATAAAGTAATACGTAACATTCTTTATTAGTTAAATTAACAATATTATCAAAAATACTTATTTTCTAGCGGACAGATTATGATGAAATACATGTCTTTATAAATGTTCGAACTGCAGCCCTTGCTGTATTTGACAGTAACCCAAACGATGTACAAATTCTTGTTGAACCTTGTTTATTGTGTCTTGAGAAATATTGTTTATTGTTGTCCGAATTCTCTCTTTTAATTCTTGAATATTTGCTGGTTTCGTTTGATACACAACATTCTTCAGATGGCCCCACATAAAATAATCCAAAGGATTGAAATCTGGTTACCTCGCTGGCCATTCGATAGGTCCACGTCTACCAATCCACCTGTTCGAAAAAAATTTATCTAGGTACCTTCTAACATCTATAGCATAATGTGGAGGTGTACCATCCTGTTGAAACCATAAACTTTCATCACAACCTCCAGGATTACGTCTGCTGGGAAACAAATTACGTAAAGTAGGTACGAGATACCCCTTTTAAAACTCAAGGTACGTTGGCCCGTTTAAATTACCGTCGATAAAGTAGGAGAGAGAGATATGCTTTA